AATCACATTATTGAGTTAAAGGTAGGGTAGGTAATTCACTTCAGAAACACTTTTTGTTATATTCCATGGAATGCTCTTAACATCCTGATAGCAATGAATAAATTAAATGCTTTGACAATAAATATATACAAATATTTCATCTGTGGAAGACGTAGTACTGTAAAAAGCACGATCAATCATCTGAGCTGGCTAAAGTAACTGGATGGCCTACCTGCCTGTCAGCCTTCCATCTGTGCACAAACTTATCTCGTGCCCTCATTGGTCATGTGCACGTTCGTGTGTGTTGGAGGAGGGGCTCTGTAAGGAAGTCTGAAGGAAGTGGCACATTTTTATCGGCTGCGTACTTTCAAATTCTAGCGCACTCGAGCTGGTTTCTCCATTACCCTACCTTTAAGTCAATAAATGTATAACGTTTCTACTTGAGTTTAAACAATGTAGCTCTGTCTATCTCTATTTTCATTGTCTGCTGATTTGCTATTGGACGCTCACTTTGAATGCTGGGAACTGGGAGGTCGTATTTGGGTTTCTTCCTGCGAGGATGCGGCTTGACAGCTCGTGGCGGGCGACACGGGACCTGACTCTCCCTGAAGAAGGTCACCATGAAGGGCTGCTTGGAGCGGGGGCCCCTGCGGCCCACCAACCCGATCCAGCCTGCAGACAGGGAGCGGTCTAGGGGAGGGCACAGGAATATGAATAAAGTTCAGTCTGTAGTAGTAGTGGTAGGAGCTATTTAAATCAACCATTTAAAATCATCAGGGTGTAAATCCCCAGCTGAGTACGTCACATAGTGATGGGCTGATGAAGCCTCATGAAGTGACATCTGGTGGCTTGTAAAAATGACAGCAGCACTTAAAGATAGGCCAAATGTCAAACAGCTTGATCATTTGAATGGTTTTAGTCATGGTTTTTGGTCTTGCATTTTGAAATCTGTTATGGTTTTGATCTGAAGCGCCAAACATACATTCTTTTGGTAACACAAAAACTAAATGTGCATTATTGGAAAAGGTAAAGCCCAGTCTTCACTCTGTGTTCCTGTGTTTTAACTTCATGGTTGATATTTATATAACATTTCATATAAGTCTCTATATAATATTACAGGAGATAACAATTCAGATAATTATTATTTGATATTAAAAAGAAAGGTTCTCATACTAATGATGATGATTTTAAAAACATGTTGTACTATAAAGGTTTAACTAATTTGAAACAAATGCACCGGCACTTCATTTGCTGTGATAAAAGCATCCACTAAATGAAATTGACCTACTAATGTGCAGAATAGAGTTTAGCTGTAAAACTGACCAACTGAAATACTAGCTTAGGTTTATCAGTCTTCTCTGCTTTTGAGCTTTACTTGCCCATCTATTACTTTACACCACCTAAGCGAGGGTTGTAACATTTGCTTTTGCACTCACCCTCCTCTGTCTCCACATAAAGACGTATGCCCAGGTTGCTGCGCGGGTGGAGCAGCCAGTTGTTGGAGGCCGTGGTGACGTCGAAGGCCAGCCAGCCCTCCTGTCCTGCGGGCACCGACTGCATGTCCAGCAGCACTAGCTCTGGCTCTCTGAGAGAATACACAGGAAATAATATCAATGATTTTTAAAAAGCTGAAAGTGAAGGATATATAAGCCATTCCTCTTATAGATCTACTATCATGCTATTTTACTGCATATATTATGGGTTTCAGATATATACAAATATATAAAAAACATTTCTATGATGTGTCTTGCTCAAAACACCAAACAGATCATGCATTTTACACATCCCTCATATCCCTCTATTTCAGCCCTGTTAGAGAATGGCTGATTCTTTGCTGGCCCCGCCCCCTTTTGAGCAACAGCCACACTGTGACTCAGATGCAGCTAAATGCTAAAGGATTATTTCTGAAACAGTATGGAGCTCAAATGCTTATTTTCTTGCGGGTTTACCACAAGGTGAGTTCCTTTCTTTATTTCCTGCTTTTTTACACACACTCTCTTCAGTACAGGTTAGCTCTGAGTGTTAGCGATGCTTGCTAATGTAAAAAAAAGACCATATTACGTCCAAAACACGTCGCGCATTGTTTCTGATAGCGACGTTTCTGATAGGGCCGTGGGTGTAAAGCCAGCCCACATTGCCGATATTACGTGATATCCGTTCCCTCGTTTTTAGAGATTTGGGTACGGAGGAAAAGAGAGGATTTTGTTTTCTGACATTTTGTGAGTTCCCTGACACACCGGGGACACATATTAACGTATAAAACGTATAAAAGACATCAACAAATGCATTTTGCATGATAAGAGACCTTTAACTCCTAAAATCAGGCAATATTATTAATGATTAGAGTTTAATACTTAAAAGTAATCTTAATATAAAGAGGAGTCCAGAACTTTTAAGAGTAGATCCTAGATTGCTACAGAAACAAAGGTAAGCATACACCTGTGCCATGGTGAACGATGTATTCAGATCCTTAACTTAAGTACGATTACAACACTGTGAAGATACACCTCTAGTCGTCAAAGGCATGCATTTAAAAGCTTACGAAGGTGCTGTCACAAAAATGAATTAAATGCATCAAGAGAACATTCTCTCTATTCTTTCTGCAGTAAAAAGTTCGATGTCAGTGTTCACCTGTGTCTGTTGTCTCTCTGGATCTCGTAGACGGAGATGTGCAGGGTCCGGTTGGCCCTCTGGCCCATCGTCAGGGTCTTATAGATCCTAAACTCTGCTGCCGTCACCGTCTCCCCCTGAGGGAGGGGCGTCAGGTCGAAGCGAAACTCCTTCCAGTACGGACGAGGCTGCAGGAGGTCTCGCTCCTGCTCCACTGCAGAGACAGAGACACATTATCGTACTTACTATGTATCAATAGTCATATATAGCAACTACTCTTAATGTGGTCCACATAACTAAACACTACATCATAATGTAAAACACATTTTTATAAAAAAATGTCAAAAACACTTAATCAACACCATAAGAGAAACTCAAGATAACATGTACCAACAGTTCACTTTATCTAGATTGGCCAGTATAACATGTTATACTGCTCAAAACAATAATAGTATGAACACTCAGTGTGTGCTGTGACTGATCAAATAAATGAAATCAAAATAAGAAAACATATTTATATGTGTTGTACTTTTTAACAAGTAGTGCTTAATTATTCAAAACTGACAGAGACCTGGTGAACAATGACATTCATACAAAGGCTAATAGATTAATAATGTGGTCACTGGTCATTAAATAAAAAGTCAGACTGTCTTTAAAATCCACCCTACAAATAAATCTATAAAAAAGCAGGGATAAATACAAGTCAGAAAGATCAGGCGGGAAGTTTTGTTGTTGATCAAATGTGTCAGAAGAGACACAAGAGGCGTGAGAGGAAACAGAAAGGGGAAAGTCTTAGTTTGAAACAGATGTAAGAGGACACTGGAGACAGAGAGTAACAGAGTGAAGGTGGGGAGGAGGTGACATCACCGGGAGATGAGTCAATGACACAGAGGAAGGATGAGTATTCCTCCATTACTTCAGAAAAACTGGCAATACAATGATTGAAAAGTACTTCAGAAGGGGTCGTAAATGATATACTTCAAAGCATACTGTGTATTGTGTAGTTCATTGTTAACCATCCATACATTATGAGATCATTTAGTAAGTTCACTTAGATATCAGGAAACATTTAGTGGAGTAAAAACAACAATATTTATTTCAGAATGATTTTGAAGCATAACATGGAAATACTTTAGGGGATGTTGCCCCTGTTACCAATACAAATAAAGATATTGAATGAATGACTTAGAGTATTTCTACAGTGAAGTTTGGATATCCAAACTTCACTGTAGAAATAATCTAAGTCATACTTTACTGAAGTAACATTTTGAAATGCGTCTTCTACCAGTGTTCCACTTCACTGAACCGTATGAAGGTGCAGTGTCTTTCAAAAAGGCACCTCAACGGCTGCTGTTTGACAGATTAGAGAACATGTGATGTTCAACTTCATGTGGCCCTCTGTTAAAGAAAAATATGGAGATCCAGAAGTGAGCTGGCAAACGCACACCATCCTACACCCATTATAAATATGAAGCCATGCAGTGTGTGTGTCCTTGTGGAACCCCACAGGGACACGAAAGGCTATGGGCACTGGGGTTTGCACACAAACACACATAGACACACACATATATATACACACACACACACACACACACACAAACACACACACCCACCCACCCACCCACACACACACACACACTGAATGGTTAATAGAGATACTAAAGACAGGACATCCCTGATGGTTTGGGCGTGCTCATATCAGGACACACACACACACACACACGCACGCACACGCACACGCACACACACACACACACACACACACACACACACACACAGCAGTAATTAGAGACACTTAGTGCTCTGAACCACAGCAGCTGCTCAGCACACACACCACTAATTGCAGCCCTCTTGGTATTTTTAGAGTTGCTCCCTCCACAGCAATATTTTCAACTCGCTTCGGACCGTTTCCTTTTTTTTTTTTGCTCGGTGTGTGTCAGTGGGCCTTTAATTCCAACCAGCTGTGTCTTCCCATTACATATGCGTAGGAACACACACCCATGCCTGTTTGATTCAACTTATATGAACTACACACACTGATTACATTTCAGTCAGACAAGTCATGTTTATTAGAAGCAGCATATAGTTGAGTTTGGCGTCTAGGCTCGGGCCTCATCACTCCACAGATATACATAGCATGATNAGAGGTCCAACTCAGTATTGTGTAGCCATGCCCGCATCTCTGGTCCTACGTCGAAGAGGCTGGCTATAACCACCTGCCCTTTATATAGACCACCCTCGGAAGCCAGCCTCTTCGACGTAGGACCAGAGATGCGGGCATGGCTACACAATACTGAGTTGGACCTCTGACGTTACACGAAAGAAGAAGAAGAAGTGTAAAGAGACGGTGTCCAAGTGTCTGCTGAGATGATCTCAATCTTCTCTCAGGCCCATTTGACCAATTAAAGAGTCATACTTGGGACCAGTGGAGGTTCACAGTCGCCATGCAAACCTGTCATCTTTAATAAGAAACACTGAATGACTGACAACACCCCCTTCCTGTCTTTTTCCCCCAGGAGAGGATGGAGAATGTCAGGGGGAACAACAAGAAGACATGGATCACACAGGCACGGACGGACGCACGCACGCACGCATGCACGCACGCACGCACGCACGCACGCACGCACGCACGCACACACACACACACAGGCCGACACACATCAAAACTAAAGCAGGAAGTAGACAAATAGATGGATGAGATGATGGAGGGAGAGAAGAAAGAGGAGGAGGAGGCAGTGTGTGGAGGTGGTATCACCTCCTGAGCAACACAGAAAATATTTGGTTGGGGGGGGGTTAACGGTCTGGGGGATCTGACCTGCCAGCGATTAGGAGCGGGGGGCTCAGTCTCAGATTATGCAAATGAGGGGGTGTTTTGATGCAAAGCAAGCTGGACTGGTCGCTACTGTTTCCCCAGTCGTGAAAGGGCGAGACTCCCTGGGAGAAATACTAGGAGAGAGAGGGAGAAAGGGAGGGAGGAGCGGGGGTCTTGGTAATGAGCGGGGCAGGGCGGGCGGCTCCCCCAGCCTAATACATTATCATATTTCCACATAATTAGTTGGTTTTTCCACATGAAATGAGGAAACGGTTCGACGGTGCGTTCACTGCCGCGAGGGAAACCGGCCTCTCTTCCTTATTGAGTGATGACCTCTGACCTTTTCTCTCTTATCATTGATCTACCAACCTCACATACACACACATTAATAAACGGAACCCCGTCATTAACCTGAAACAATGATTGAGTCCACAGATCTGAATAATATGTGAACGCTGGCCATTAGTGAGAGACAGCGAGCTAGCCTTCAGGGGCCTCCTGGGGCCTTTGGCAGCCTTATTTCAGTATCACCAACATACACTGAAAACACGAGGCAGGGTGACCTGGGCACACTACCAGACACGCACATGATATTCAAGTGGTTTGGGTTGTGATAGCGTCGCATAGCTGAAGGGCCTTGAGAGACCTGCTGGGAGCCACGAGGGGCCAACACTTTGGATCTGATATCACTGCAGACCTGAAGGCATCACAATGCAGAATCATTACTTTGCTACTGGACAAAACTACAGTTGCAGTCATCGCTCAGTTGAAGAACATATGAACTCCTTTCTCTGTTCTGGGTCGAAAAGTATCTTTAAACCTTGGAGATAACAATAATAGAATAGGTAAAAAAATTATAAATGCAAAGATACTCAGAGTGTTCATGATAAAATCAGGCAGTCAAACTGGCAAACAAATTAAAATACTAAGTGACTTTTGTTAATGAGATAATACCTAAATGCCTTATACTATTGTAAAACCTTTTCTGTGAACCCTTTGTATGATGATCAAAATATGTGGTGTTTTGAAACTAATCAAAGAATAGATTTAAACTTCCTGTCGAGGATTGTCCAGACCATCCCATAAAAGCACATTTGTCTGTGGAGAAAAAAACATGTAATACGTTGGTCCACAGGACAAAATGTAGTATATTCACAAAAGAAACTCTCAAATTGTGACATTCAGAAGGCTGAACTCTCTCCACCAGGAGAACGTGTAAATACTACGTATGTCAACTATAGAGATTGCTCTGCGCACAACCCCTAAAATTGTGAGATTGCTACGCCTTTCCCCCTATTCATTTCTATTGACCAGCGTCCATGCAAAGTTATCGTCAACTCTCACGCCGTGAAAACAATATTTCCGGTCTCAGCGTTTACATAGTAACTAAGGTGGTTGTTAAGGACGCAGCTCTCACTGGCCTGGCAACACAGTCCCTGCACATCAAAAACCAGGGTCTATCCAATTGGATAACGGATAATTTTACACCCGGAAGCAAGTATTGTCCTCACTGTCGATTGATTTCACAGTGATATCTGCTCTACTCATCAACTAAAAGACACCAGTTTGTCCTGTTACACAACATTGATTGGTTTAAATCGTGTACAATGCTTTTGTGTTTTCCCCTTTGAGTCTGAGAAACAAATATTTTTTTATTAGTTTTGGATAGCCGAAGACACCATACTACCCATAATCCTTATCTATCGTTGTGAAGAAGGCGCCAGTCTGCTTTGCTTGACAAAACTCACGATTTGTCAAACGATCCTACAGTTTTAGATTTTCCACAAAAAACAAGTCGGGTGTCTGCAATATATATATTTGTCATGCTGGGAAAGTTAGCGATCACGTGACATGGAAACTGGCCATTAGAAATATATAGCCATGTAAAAATTTGAGACGGTTCTTTGTGAATGTACTACGTTTAGCCTTGTGGACCTATGTAGCTATAGAATGGGTTGAGAGTATTCATCAAAGTTAACTCCTGCAGGTGGGTTTGTCTTCCTGATGGTGCATTCAAGGACACATGACAAATAAGACCTCCAGTCAGCTCAGGAAAACTGATGTGCTGATGAACTTAAAGACATATCATTATATACAGTACAGTCTCAAACCTCATTTGGCAGTAAGATGTTTCAGAACATAATCATTTTCACAAGAGTCTTCTATGGACATGATCACTTTTTTGGACAGTCTACCTAAATACTTAAACAATAAGGTCTTAGATCTTAGACACAAATGTTTATGTTCATATGTTTACTGGTTGACTTCTATTGTTTTGCCTGTCGGAATAAAATATGGAGAATTTGGAAGAAACTTAGAAATCAAAGTATAAACTATTAACATTTAAACCTTTCACCTTGTGTCACCTCCTCAGGATGATTTTGTCGACCATCTCACGTCAGTTTGAACACAAATTCCTTT